AAATTTTCTAGAGAAAGATGTTCACAAAAAAAGAGAGAGCGCGAGTGCGCGTGAGCACGCACGCGCCTTTAAACCAGAATTTTACCAATTCCAGGCTACAGTCAATAGTAATTTCACTGACCATGGAAGTATAGCAAGCCCTGCAATGACTAGAGACTGCAGCTTCCCTTCTGTTCTGCGCTTTTTCGAAGGACAGAAGATTAACCGAGTCTGCAATGGAAAAATTAGGAAGAGCAAACACAATTACGTGCGCTGGAATTTAGCCAAAATCGTAACTCTCTTAAATACAATAGTATTTAGTGAACTACAGAGGGTCAGGATACAGGTAAGTCAGACTCTTTAGTAGTAAAGCTTTTAATTTTTTGCAAGAATGCTGGTAATAGAGATCAAAGGACAACAGCCAGTGAATCATGAGGCCAGAGGTGCTCCTGAAGTTGTCCCTCTAGACATATGCCATTTCAATTCTGACGTACCACAGCTCTAATCCTATGCTAAGGTGGCAGATCTACCACCCGTTTTGCTTGCAGAGGAAGAAAATGACAGCTTCATTGTGTTGGCAGTAGCTTGGCTACCGGCTAGGAACAAAGCTTATTTAACCAAAATGGAAATTAAAATATATGTCCTTTGAATGCATCCTGCTGATTCTTACAAAAAAGACCTGCAGAACTGTTTGAAGTTTAAGCTTTGTCCTCACAGTTTTCTTTCCAACAATGCACAGTAGAGTCAACTTAGCAGCAGACTCTACTAGATCACAAAGTCAACCATTACCACTTCCAAGCAACGCTCTGCTCCTTTGTGTCCTCTCCAGCCTTGAAAGATATGCATGACATTGTCACTAAAAAAGGCATAAGATTTCTAACAGAGTAAAACTGCACTTTGCTACACGTAGAGGTATATGAATTCTATGGACACATTCAGCATTACCTTCAGATATATTCAGAGCACAAATCACACTATTCATTTAAGGTCACAGCGTCATACCTTATCACATCCGGTTCTGTGCCTTCATTCTTATAAGACGCCTGAAGTTGCCTCTGTCGTGTGAGAAGGTCATCCACCAGGTTCTGCCTCCTGTCCCCCTCCAGCTGCGTGCTAGTGCCACTTGGTTAAGGTTCAAAATTAAAAATATTGGAAGATTTCATTTCAATTTAATTTCAATACTGAGAGAATCACACATGACAACTGGCTAATACTGCATCAAACTGGAAATTTCCAAATTTCTAATTTGAAAAAAATAATTTTCAAAGATCAGAATACATATCTAAAAATATATTCATCTCTGTTTATCAGTTACAAACTCTATTATATGTTCTTAAAAGAAGTTAGACATGGTCATCAAGATAACCAGAATAACTATTTTAATTCAAGAAAAGGATATAACACCTAACAGAAGGTTAAGTCTTCCATTTCTGAATGGAATCTGCTTTTACTCTAAACGTGTTTCTAAGGTTTGCATATCTCAAAGAAAAAAAGGTTTCATAGAGAGTGATCTTCATGATCTCAAAATAATGAGAAAATTGGGAGGGTATATACTGCCAAATTAGCATAAGAATTCAAAACAGTATCCCCCCCCCAATCCAACATGATAATTCTTTCATTTATTACTAAAAGGTACTACACAGCTCATCTATTCTATAACACTGACAACGTACAACACTAGTGCATGGGTTAAGCTTACAGAAGGAATGAGTGTTCTTAAGAGATCTACCCTGCCCAAACTTGTTAAAGTACTATTATGCTATAAATCACGCAGCCCCAAAGCAGGAGAGAGCTGTTGAAGTCATCAGGGTACTTCACATCTTATTTCACTGGAACTGAGGCTCATTACACGGACCATGACAGCAGTTCCCTGCAAAGTTCAACAGGCGACGAGCAAACAATGAAAAATTTACTTAAGTATCTGTTCCCATCTACAATTTATCATCAGGGCTCCTTTGTAGCAGCTGCAGCAGGAGATAAAAATCCATTTAGTGTCTCTGAAAGGCTGGAGTACTGCCCCTTTGACAGTGGCAGATACGTTTGCTTTTTTAATTAATCTCAGTGATAGACATTTTAAAAGACTACTAACTCTCTTTCTAATACGTTTAAGAAGCTTATGCAATAGACATACTGATTTTTATATGTTTTCTGCCATAGCAACAGCATTCATTTGCTCTAAGGTACTCACTTGAAAGGAAAGTTTTACCTACTATCCTCAGCAGAGCATTCAGAAGGCTCAAGCAAGATTTCTAGTACAGTGAGCTTGAAGGTAATCATCCATTCATTACATCAGTTTGCTGCTGGATACCTCTTTAGGGAGATGGACATGCTTCTCGCACAGAGTCCTTAGGCCTGAACTAACCTACCATGTAGAGCGAGCTGCAAACCCACATAAGGCCCTGGGGTAACATTCCTAGAAGAGAAAGCTGCAATTTCTTTTTAAGATATACCAAGACGCCTCTGAGAACACAGTTCCATTGCTCCTTAAGCCAATCTAAGTCAGGACTGCCACATGCCTGCCCACTTCCTGAACACAGCTTCATCCTTCATTTTTGCAAGTACGAGCACTCCAGCTGCCAGTGACCAAGCCAAGAGAAAATAAGAAAGTCAGCTAGTTTTCTGCTAGATGAGTGAACTGAGACAGCTCACAAGCCAGCCTCCCAACCACTGGTGCCAGCACAGTGCACGGGCAGGACAACGGCAGCTCTGTCTGAGATCAGCCAGATCATCTTGTTAAGCTTCTTTCTGACAAACACGTAACCAAAGTAAGTCTCACCCACAATATCAGAGCTGCTCAGCTTACCAATGCTTTCTATACTATAGCTTCAAGAAAAATATCAAACGTAATCACAGACAAAGTTCTGCTGACAGAGCCTTCCATTAAAAACAAACAAAAAAAAGGCCACAACTGCACAGCAAAGCTTCCTTCCAATTAGAGCATATTTTTTCACCCTTTCCTACAACACGGAAAGGTCAACGAGATGAGGTTTACACAGATACATTTGGTGCGTTGATATGGCCCGAAGCAGTAAGTCCTTCAGATGATCGATCTTCTCTTTGAGATTCTGCAGTGACGATCTGATTATCACATTGAGCTGAAGGAGAAGAAAACAGATTTCTTGTCAGAGTTTTGTTTGCATAAAATTTCATATGACTATTTGCAGGTGACAATATAGGCAACTTCAGCTATACTGGTGTGGAGGAATCTATTCTAAACCAAGAGAAGTCGGCTTCAGAGCCGCCAAGGAAACAATACAGTTAACTGCTCTGGACTGCTTACCCAATAATTAGATAAATAATACTGGTTTCGCAAACACAATTCTAATGCATTAATGCTGTTTAATATGGAGAGCTTTCTTTCAAGTCTTCATAAACAGATTCCTTTATATGGGCAAAATATTTCAACACATTTTAACATTTTCCAGTTAGTTTTCCAATTCTTTCCTCTGATCTTTAACACAAACACCAGGCGCCAGCTTTTTCTGCCACTACGCTTCTTTCCCAGCTCCCATGATTACAGGGAAAGTTGTTCCAGGTTTAGACATTCCCTCCACTGAACTCTTCCACTCTTTAATCTAAAGATTCATAAGAAATTCAAACGTGTTCAATTTTACTTTTCAATACCATCTACGATGCTCCGTCTCTTCTTGCTACTGACCTGCACAACGTTTACATGCGTCTGGTCTTACTAGAAGAGTAGTTAAGTTGGGCACGTTCTTTTCTGCTCCAAGCACATCTGAGGTCTGTGGGAATTCTCCTTCTCTTTCCCCCCACCCCTTCCCAAATCAGGATGACATTATCCTCTGCGCCTCTTTTTCCTTAAATGTTATGTTCATTCCAGTTACCTAGTGTGTGCTAGGAAGAACACATTATAAAAGCAATTGACTATACAAGTCATCCTAATTAGGGCTTTATGTGCTTCTTGTAAACAAGGTATTAGCCGTGCTGTGGGTTATAATGGTCAGGGACCTCAGATGCCCTGAGTAACGAAATGGTAAGAAAAAAGGAATATTTGCTTTGAGTCTCGTTCCTGTGCTCTTGAAAATACAGAAGCAGCAGCCAGAGAGCAAAGTCTTACTGAACAGTCACCGCGCTGCGAGCATCCTGCCTTTCAGTTACACTGTATCTGAGATTTGCAAGGAATTGGATGGTAGCAACAAAAGCTTTTAGGGAAGCTCAAGCCACTGCATGCCCTCTAGCTAAGGATAATAAAAAGGTCTTTCAATTTCATATGTACCTTTCCTGCACTCATGTCCAGTTGGAGAACGTCACACTTAATAAACCCATCTAGCAAAGAAACACAAAAGAAACGCACATGCAAAGAGTCATTTAACAAACAGATTCCCTCTGCTACTCTGGCCAGAAATTGTGTTGCTGTAACAAAAGATTTCACTTCCGTTAAAGCAGGGGGGGAATCAAACCAATGCAAGTTTTAAGATAAGCTCAATAGAGCAG